ACTGGCTGCAAAATGGGATTCTCTGTCTAAAACTTTGCAATTTTGGAAAGTCTGGCATGGCTGGCTGGAAGCATTTCTTGAGACAATGTTGGAGTATGACTGTGTGAAAGGCAAAAACTAGTGTTCCATGGCCTGCTGTGGAACCTGCTGCTAACATGGCCTCCAAACATGTCATTTGCAGATTTGGCACACATTGCCTTGGGCCAGGCCTTGCTTCATGCAGTAGCCTTGCAGACAGCTGTGCCCACAATGCTGTACTACTGATTCAAACAAAAAAGCCCTTGCAGGCAAACGGATTTCAAATGATAGCTCTTGAAGCCAAAACTGAAAAACAACAAGCAGAACCAAGGGCAGCACTGCAAGTTAGTGGCCACTTGCTTTCATGCTGGAAAATATGTCTCGATAAGTATGTCCAGAGAAAGCCTAAGCGTTTCTGTTTTCCCCCACTGCCTGTATGATTTACCATTGCGGTGTTTGCATGGTTATTTACCACAAGGCAGCCCACGATCTTTTGTCAGACCAAGGAAATGTTTACACTTCCTTTTGTTCCCCTGCTGCTTTTCTTGTACCACTTGTTGTATTCCTGTCTTGAACTGAGACTGAGTCCCCCCAAAGTAGGGAGACTGGCACTTGTCACAGCCACTCACACTGCCACGGCATCTGACACATCCATAGATTCCTTTGGGGAAAGCTGGTGTGACATGCTTTGCTTCCTCAGCATTCTTCTTCACAATGGCCTTTTGCTTGGGCTCTGCTTTGGCTAGGCTTTTCTTAGTAGCTGGCCTCTTCATGGCAGTATCCAAATCATTGCCCTTCCTCTTGGTGAGCATGTGTTTGGCCTCAGCTTCATAGTCCTCAAGGCTTTTGCCTGGGTGCCATCATGTCCTCCAGCAGGTGCAGCACAGTCAGAAGGCGCAGGTAGAGGCAAAACAGCTGGAACTGCCGGCAAAGCTTTGGGAGTCAAAGAGGTGGAGTCCCTTGGGCCGGCCCCATCTGAGAGCAAGGAGTTGCTGGAAGCAGGCTCCTCCAAGCTATCATTGTTCAAGATTTTCTGGCTCAAGGCATCCAAAGCTCTGGCCTGTTTCTCCATTTGTAGGATCTTTCCCTGTCGAAGGCTCTGCTGGCAACTGCTGAGAGGTTGCCTGTGGAGTGGCCACAGCGCTGAGTTCCTTGGCAGTTCCGCTCACCGTGACTTTCTTGGCAATGCTTCCAAGGTTTATCATATGACTGGTAGCGAGCAAGCAGAAAGCCTGCAAGTGTTCATGTTCAAATGGAAATATGTATACGGGTCCATGTGTGTGTGTGTGTGTTCAGGGATTATGTCATGGCTAAATTTTGACTTCAAAATTATCAGCTTGAAAGCAGCCATCACCAAAGATTTTACAAACCCAGTGCCTCCCCAATGTCGTGGGGGCTAGGTGGGTACCTTGCCAAACCAGCATGCAGAGGTTGAGCCACCACAGCCTCGAACGTATCCAGCACAAAATTTGTACATTTCAAAAACTGGAGGCAAGACATTGGTGATTTCACCTGAAGGCTGACCAAAAAGGATGTCAAGTATTTCTTGGTGTCTTCTTTGAGGCTTTTCAACCCACACACTTTGATTCTTTTGATCAGCATGTGGGTAGCATCAACTGTGTTGATGCCATCCTGCATCTGCTGCCATTCGCTTTGGGACAAGTAGTTCCAAGGCGTGGTCATGCTTTGAGGTGTAGCCTGCAACCTGGTGGCCCCTTGGATTGAAGAGGCTGCCCTTGATTCGAGAAATGCTTGCAACTCTGCCTTCGTGTCAGCAGTCAAGATGCCATTTTGAACAGCATCAGGACGCTTCAAGAAGTTAGAAGCAGTGAGCATTGGACACCGCTCACTTTGGACTGCAAAGCTTCCTGCATTCGTGGCACCAGCTGTGAACCAGCGTTCCTTTGGTAAATCGCTTCCATATCACTAATCTCCTTGACTAAGTCCTCAACGTCCCAAGTAGCCATGGTGATCAAAGGATCTAGGCTAAGGTGAGCTCATAATTCCTATGGGCCCACTGCAGCAGAAGCAGAAGAGAATTGATTCTGCTAACCTTCAAAGTTAGAATTATGACAGCCCCTTTGGGCATGGGATAAAGGAGTTTAAGCCTTTACATGAAAGCCCCTTTGGGCAGAAACAATTTAGTTTACACAATAAAATGAAAGCCCTATCAGCAAAACCTTTAGCAAGAGTAGGTGGAAATGGGTTCTGGGACCCTTTAAGGTTAGAAGCATATAAATCTCAGTGGGCTCTCATACCCAACCCTGGACCTTTACTTTACATGAAAGCCCCTTGGGCATAAACCACAATAGTTTCAAAATAGCAGGAAAGGCCACTGGGCCAGAAAAAAACAAGTACACCACATGTTTTTTTTAAATATTTTTTCTCCTCCCACAGTATTTTGATTCCACCCAAGTATGTTTTCATCCAGGCTTGCCATGCACTATGGGCATACAGCTGCAGCTATCAGGCGCAGATAGCATCGCCAGAAGGAACAGGGACCCCAGCCAACATGTAACTGATTTTGATCAAGTTCTCCAGGCTGGCAGGCAAAAGATGTGGGCCTTCATTCTGCTTGAAGTGCTCAAGAGCATCCTGCCTGAGCAAGCGAGCAATTTGTTTACATCTATCCTCATACTACCTGAGTTCCCGTATGCTTTAAAAACATGATGAATTTCAGCCTGGTAATCAAGAATCAAAACCTGATTGATGAATCTCCACATAACAGAGGCTCTTCCATCCATTGGATGAGGTCCAGGTTCGAAACTGTCGAGATACCATTGGATCAGTGGCTGAACCCCGTGCCTGTCCCCTATTACTGGACATCCTGACAGCTTACAGCTTGACAAGAAAAATGCAAAGGACACATGTCTGATGCACTAATGGAACACCAAAACCTGAAGCATCAATGTGCTATACTTGTGACAGCTTCAAAAAATGAAAGCATCAATGTGCTTTTTGGCTTAAAAATGAAAGCCCTAAAGGCTGCTTATGTAAAAACTACATTATATTATGTTAGTTGTGCCAAATAGTAAACCAAATTAATATCAAAATCTGAAAAATAAAATATACTATTGTAGGTTCAAGTTAAGGTTCTGAATTGAAATGCCAACTGTTTGTTTTCCAATTTAGATTTCTGAATTGAAATGGAGACTGTCTGAATTGAAATGGTGAGTGTTTGATTTTCAATTTAGATTTCTCAATTGAAATGGTGAATGTTTGATTTTCCATTAGATTTCTGAATTTAAATGGCGACTGTTTGATTTTCAATTTAAATTCTGAATTGAAATGGTGACTGGTAGATTTTCAATTTCGATTTCTGAATTGAAAATTGCGACTGCTTGATTTTCAATTTAGAAACAGAATTGAAATTCTTACTGTTTGATAGTTTGATATAAGGTTTTTTTTCACCACCCAGGCTTTGCTGGAGTCAGTAAGATCTTAAGCGAGTACAAGTGTTCAAGCCATACTCACCCTCCAAGTTCTTTTGCCGTCCACACTTTTTGACGTAGCCCACCAAAGCTGCCACATACGCCTTCACCCGTGAAACTTCTTCCCATCGTTATAGTAGGCATCTCATCCTGTGCACTTCTCCAAGCTTCCAAGCAACTACTAGCCCAGAAACTTTCCTGAACCAACCTCCACTAGAAGTTCCTCGAGGAGGCACGAACTCTGGTACTTGAGAATGAACAATACTAAATGCATAGATCAAGAAACTTGAATCCCACACAGAAAGCAAAACCATAGAAACATGATGCTTGAGAAAATGTATGACTTTCCTATCAGATACATCTTGAGTAGACGAAGACCCAGTCGAAGCTTGAGAGCCTTTTTGTTTGGTGCAATAAAGAAGCTTCTTCACCTGGTCAGGAGTACAGGTCAACCTCCCCCATTGCTTCTGGAACTGGACCAGGTAGTTCTTTGGGGATGCATGCCATGCTGCTGAAGCCTCAGAGGGATACTTCAGGAGTGGCAGGTGCCAACAAACCAACATCAGGTTGAACTGGCAAAACCGTAGTTGCACTGGCTGGTGAAGACGCGCAGATACCTGGACTTGGGCCAGGTGCCATTGCCATAGAAGCCTCAAGTAGTGGTGCACCTGGGTGTTTGGCTTTGGAACCTTCCACTTCTCGCAGAAAACCAGATCCACTACTGGGCTCACCTGGTGGCTGTTGTGGCAGGTCAGGCATCGGGCCATCCATCTGCAGCCTGTATGCAAAGTTCACCAAGAGGTCCAAGGTCTGCTTTTGCAACTCTTCTTCATTCGAAGGATCCTGAGAGGGGACGACAGCGGGGCCAAAAACAATGAAGTGATGAGTATGACAAAATGAAGGGGGTTGGCCGCCATCACCCTCCCTCTTCATCACTACAGGTGGAAGTGGTGGAACATGTTTGCATTGCTTTGTTGCTTGTGTTACATGCCCATGAGGTTCCTTTAAGGTGTTTTTTCTATAAAACTATGCTTATTACTAAGCATGCAACCAGTTGAACAACTACAAACTCCTGACAGCCAAAACATTCCCATGCATGAGCGCACAAGAGTTCCAAACTTGCATGCGCATTCCCAAACTTTGTAGCTTGCAGGGATGGAAAACAACACAATTGACATTGGAGGACTCTTCTGCCCAGAGTTCAAATTGGCGTGCGTTCGCGCGTGCTGGTGACAGCATCTCTTGGAGCAGAAAACGGACGCTGCGCAGGTTGAGGGGGAAGGGAAAAATTGCGACTTTCTGTTGAACTTGTACACACATGTAGACATATTTACTTATGTGTATAGTATATATGCAAATAGAATTACGTTTGATTACGTTTGTGTGGGGAGGAACGAAATAGACCCCAAAGGTCCCTGCCACATATATATATATATATACATATTGTAGAATATATATATATATACATACACATTGAAATATACTACCTGTACATTCTGTTTGTATGCATTCCAAAAAAAACCACAATCCAGGTATGTAAATCGTTTTCAGGACACCTTCCTGGAAGTCACAGATGTCGGGGGAGCCAGTGCTACGCAGATTTTGGAGATGGCGCTGTTTTCCTAAAGGAAAGCATGAACCTTGAAATGGTGTGTTTCTATCAACATATATATATATACAATATTATCTGGGCAAATTATAGTGACCTCACGTCGTGACCTCACTGGTCAGGATTGGGGGAATCATCCGCAAGTGGCCATATTTCAGATTTGTGAATTACTATAATTTATCCAGATATTATGTATATATATATATATGGGAGTTACTTAAAATGGGGATCCCCAAGTCATCATGGTTGTTTCAATACTAAAATGCTCTAATGACTTGGATGATTGGGGGTACCCCCATTTCAGGAACCTCTGTATATGATCGTATATGTATGTATATGTATATATATATATGTATGTGTGTATATATATATGTATATATGTTCATATGTATATTCGTATATATATATATATACACACATGTATTTTATATATGTATAATAATAAACACATATATATATACAAATATAATATAATATAATATATAATGCATTGTATCTATGTATATAAATGTATATTATATGTATTATACATATATATATATATGTATTATATTTGTATTATGCGTATGTATATATATATATATATACATATATATGTATTATATATATATTTTATATGTATTACATATGTATTACATATGTATTATATGTGTATTAAATATGTGTTATATATGTATTACATATGTATTATATATGTATTCATACTGTATTATATATGTATTATATATGTATTATATACGTATTATATATGTATTAACACAGTATTATATTTGTATTATATATGTATTAATATTGTATTATATATGTATTTTATTTGTATTATACATGTGTTATATATGTATTTTATATGTATTATTACTGTATTATATATGTATTATTTATGTGTTATATATGTATTCTATATGTATTATATATATATGTGTTATATATGTATTATATATGTATGTATGTATATATATATATAATTATACATATATACATATATATGTAATGTATGTATGTATGTATGTATGGATGGATGGATGGATGGATGGATGGATGGATGGATGGATGGATGGATGGATGTATGTATGTATGTATGTATGTATGTATACGTATGTGTATGTGTATGTGTATGTGTATGTGTATGTGTATGTGTATGTGTATGTGTATGTGTATGTGTATGTGTATGTATGTGTATATATATATATATGCACGTATATATATATATTGTATATATATATATTGTATATATATATATTGTATATATATATATTGTATATATATATTGTATATATATATATATATTGTATATATATATATGTGTATACGTATATATGTATATATAGATGTATATATACATATATGTATATATGTATATACACGTACGTATATGTTGTATATTTTGTATATATGTTGTAGATATATATATATATGTGTCTTTTAATGATGTCACATGGGATTACATAATATATCATTACAACTGGCTCAGGTGACGGATCTTTATCGTCCCATTTATAAGCGATAGGGGTTGCTAGCGTATGCAGAAGCAACTCGTGGGAAGTGATTTAGGTGCACGGCACTCTCTATCTACAGAAGAATCCAAACATCACCCCATTCCCAGATGAAAAACATCACCAGTCGCGACAGCCCGACCTCCCTTCACCGAGGCAAAAGTCAAGGATCACTCAGGGACAAAGACAAAGAAGAGGACGCACTTTGTCATCGTCACTGCTTGGATGTACGTCCCAATTGACAAGCTCCTATAGGTTTCCTATTTTTGAAACTTCCGCCACCGCCTTGTGCGGTACTACTGGTAAATTATAGACAAGAACTTCAGAGGCGGGGCCTGAACCTATGACCACAAGGTTAAGAGCGTTACGCTTTACCGTGTCTGAGCTAGGCGAGCTGATGTTTAGAAGGCATTGATTGGCTAGTGATTCTCTGGATATTATTATTAAATAACGCATTCATCGAACCCAGCGAAAATCCAACCAATTAATCTAACTGGGGATGTTCCAAAAGAAGAAACAAAAACAATTCTCCTGGGGTATCGCACGGGGGGTATCGTGCGGGGCGCCCACTTCCACTTCTTCTGATGCAAAGTGGGTGGCCTGCGTTTGTGGCTGCACTATCTTCTTGAAGCATAGGGAAATATCCTGAGGATGTTCAAAAAATGCGTGACTTCATTTGTCCTTGAGGAAACCACCTAGCAAGAAGCCACCAGGTGGGGCTGTTCCGTGGAGGGGACACACTCTACAGTCTGTTAGTCCAAGACACCGCCAGGACAAAAGTTTTTCCTGGCTTTCCAATACCCTTTCCCCATAGACTCCTACCAAAGAACTTTCTAAAGAAGTTTCTACTTGGGTCTTGGACCACGGATCAGATTCGTAACCTTTAAAATAAGTTCAATAAAAAACGACTAGTAAATTCGATCCATCACGCAGGCCATGCGAAATGGCCCTCAGAATCATAACGTAGATCCGCAGAGAGATATACATTGCTTTGTTCTGAAACAGCGGACGGGACAAACAAATCGTCCTAGTGAAGAGCATTTTTAAGGACTTCCCAAACTTTTTTGAGGCTTGTTTTTCACTACTTTATGTTTGGGCAGCTGAATGTTGACATATCTACATGATCATGGTTGAGACAGATACATGTTCGAGTCACAGGAATGGTTACACAAGGTGGTCCAGCAACTAGGGTTTATGGTAGATACTATGGTTTGGAAATCTATAGATAATATGGTAGATTTATGTACAAACCATAGATACTATCTATACTGTTATGGTTTATAAACCAACTTATAATTGTGGGGCACCACCTTGCATATAGTGCGCACATGGTATCCACCAAGAGACGTTTAAACAACATTGTTAAATTATGTTAACCCTGACGTAGACACCATAGGTTATATCGTCGTTGGTTGATTGTATTATGATGAATCATCTAATTGTGGTATCCTGCAGTAGATCAACTAGGGTCATGTGGTATTTAAGTATTCCTCTGATTTCCATGGATACTGTATATATAATATTATGTACACATATTTGGATGAGTTTCGGAGTTGAACAAATGTCCTCAAACGATGACCCAAAAGGATCCGAAAGTAAGAACTAAGGCTCAGTTTCGATTTACCCACAATTGCTTTGTTTGCAAATAGGGTACTCCATGAATCATAATTATCCCCACAACCATGTATTCTTTTGTTGGTTATATGAAGTTGGTCGGTTGTAAATCACCCATTTCTTGCTGAATAACCAGGGTTGCTCCAACCCATCAAAGGTGATAGCTACAAGTTTGGGAAATTGGGATCACACCTGATAACCCGCAAATCATGTCATATTCCCAACAGCGATACTGTTGGGTTTCAATCTCTGCCGGGGGTGCCACGAAATTGTAAGTTATATATACATTATATCACCATGACATGATATAACCCCATAGATCATGTCATAGACAATACGTCGCGTGTATTTCTCTTGGTGCAAAAAAAAACACACCTGCGCAGGGAAGTTTGGCGGCGGCGGCGGCGGTGGCGGCAGCCAGCGGCCGCTGGCCCCATCCCAGGACGCGGTTGTTTAAGTGACAAAACAAACGACAAAACACAAGCCAAGCTCAGGATAACGGGATAGCATAGGATCATAGGATGAACACCGCAAAGGTTAAACATATATGTAAGGATAACATATGAGAATGATTCTATGTTGTTTAATATTTTTTAATTATACCAAATCAGATAATGTTTTGTTGCTATTATAAACGCCATCAACAACTTTGATTTACTCCACAATTGGATGATGGTTTAGTACTTACAGTGGCTACCCCCTTTTTGAGTTGCGGGCGGCCTAACATTTTCTGAGCAAAACTGACCATTGGACTTCAGAGAACGCATGGTTTGATACACAAAGATACAACATTGACATGCTAAAGCAAGGCAAATTTCCAGGGGCTTGGTTTCCAGGGGCAAATTTCCAGGGGCTTGGTTTTCCAAGGCAAATTTCCATACAATAGTGTATCGACAAGAAAGAGAGTAGCTTGAAGCGGCTTGACCTATCTGCCCAGTGGAGTTTTCGTCCTGGTGGTTTATCTTCAGATTCTTTCGTCAAGGACTTTGGGTGAATTACAACGGCCTCATACGACCTCAATGACATAATTTCATGCAATATACTGTACACTTGAATCTTCAAATTCCCAAATATATTTGGGACTTGTGCTCTGCACCTGTGTTCGGGGACGTTTTCCCACAAAATGATCGTTTTGGGCGTTTTACCAGAATGTGAGCGATTCTTTGTGGGATAATTCCACACCACATTCCAACACCCCCCAAGTATGCTTGATGGATGAAGGGCGCAATTTGTTATGGAAGCTGCGCATATCGCTTAATTTGAACTGGAAAACCAGCTGAGACTTCCTCATGACTCCAACCTTCAAAAATCAAAACAGACACTATTTGGGTCCGTTTGATGGTTTTGAGTGGGAAGCAGGTGAAACAGACAAAACAATCTTGGGATTTCGAAGGTCCAGGCATATACGAAAACAACTGCTTAATCATCCATGTCCAATATAGATATCTATAGATATCAGTATCATTGTCACAATATGTACCCTCTGGTAATTTAACATAGCTATTGAAAATCACCATTTTTAATGGTAAAATCCACTATAAATAGCCATTTTCAATAGCTATGTTAGTCATTACCAGAGGGTAAGCATTACTAAGCCCAAGTTGGTGAACTTTCAAAACCGCCCAGGACGTGCCTTTTTGGTATCGGAAACTGATGGGTGCGCCCAGCTCCAGCGTTGTAAGTCCATGGTGATGAACGGGTCTAACTAAGGCGGGGAGAAATCTGGATTCAACGTTTCAGTTGAAAAAAGAGGCTTCTAGATTCAGCAAACAGAATCACAACTTGGTAGCTGGGAGCCTTGGTAGCGGAGAGACTACCAAGTTATATATATAATATTATATATAATATATAATATATTATATATTATATATAATATATTATATTTGATATGTTATATATAATATATAATATATTATGTAGTATATATGATATATAATATATAATATATTATGTAGTATATATGATATATAATATATAATATATAATATATAATTTATAATAGATAATAGATAATATATAATATATGATATATAATATATTATATTTAAGATTTAATATATAATATATATAATATATAATATCTAACATAATATTTAATATATAATATAAACATATAATATATAATATAAACTATATAATATATAGTATATACTATTTAATATATAATATATAATATATGATATATAATATATGATATAATATATGTAATATTTTTGACATATGATATTTAACATTTAATTTAGTTTTTGTATATATATATATATAAGTGACATAACTTTGGTTCGTTAAATGTATCTGGGGATATACAAATTTCTGTAACTTTCTTGTGGTTGGATCCCATTAATCACCAGATCCCAATGGTTATCCCATCACAATTTGGCGATTACCCAAGGGTAAACATTAACGTAGATGTGGAAAACCTATGGTTTCCCTAGGAAATCCATCTAGAAATGGTTGATCTTCCACATCTACGGCCAGTTTACCCTGGGGTATCCCTTCGCAAGGTATGGAGGACGCCCAGCCCGCGGCCCCGGCGCGCTCTGTGCACGCCGCGCACGACGCGCCGCCGCTGCCGCGCTGGGGCGGAACCGGCTTGGGCGAGCGGCGCTCGCCGGAACGCTGGGATCCCAATGGAGGTGCCATGGGATGACCCTGAAGCGATTGGATTTTTCTGGCTGTGGATGTCACCCTGGATGAACAAACCGGCTGTTGAGCTGTTGAATATCGCGGGTAGCATTGAAGTGATTACCAGTAGTACCGCACAAGGCGGTGGCGGAAGTTTCAAAGACAGTAAACCTATAGGAGAGGTTGGTTGTTGTGAATCACGGATGGCAGAGCGAATCCACTGATGGACCGAAAGGTGGTTGGAGTTGTGAGTTGTGTTTTGTGGAGTGGCTGCAATGGTGGCTGCAGTGGTCACCTCACCACAACTGCTGGATGTAGTGTGACGTAGTGCAGTTGTAGTTGTAGTTGCTGTTTTAAGTTGCAGTTGTAAAGTAGTGTGATTGGTGTAGTGTAGTTGCAGTTGCAGTTGTGGTGTGGTGTAATTAGTGTAGTGTATTGTAGTGTACTGTAGTGTTGTGTTCTGTAGCGTGGTATAGTGTAGTGTAGTCTAGTGTACTGTAGTGTAAAGTAGTGTAGTTGTAGTTGTAGTGAAGTGTCGTGTAGTGCAATGTAGTGGTAGTTGCAGTTGTAGCGTAATGTAATGGAATTAGAGTAGTGTAGTGTTGTGTAATGTAGTGTAGTTGTAGTTGTATTTGTAGCTGTAATGTATTGCAGTTTAGTGTAGTGCAATGTAGTGTAGCTGTAATTGTAGTTTTAGCTGTGGTGGTAGTAGTTGTAGTAGTTGTAGTAGTAGTAGTAGTAGTAGTAGTAGTAGTAGTTGTAGTAGTAGTTGTAGTAGTAGTAGTAGTTGTTGTTGTCGTTGTTGTTGTTGTTGTTGTGGTGTAACTTGTGTAGTGTAGCGTAGCGTAATTTTGATGCAATTTTTGTCGCGTAGTGTAACTAGTGTTGTGTAATGTAGCGTAGTATATTTGTACTTGTAGTAGTAGTGTAGTGTAGTGTAGTGTAGTGTAGTGTAGTGGTACTTGTAATTGTAGATGCAGTTGTAGTTGTCTCTTTGCAAGCTTGAAAACGAGGCTATTCTGCGAGACTTCCTCATTTTTGAGCTTGACAACGTCAAAAACGAAACAATTCTGCGAGACTTCCTCATTTTTTGAGTTGACAACATCAAAAACGAAGCAATTCCGCGAGACGTCCTTCAGAAATGGAAAGTTGAGTGCAGAGCTGACGGCCTCGTACCAATGCGTTTTGCGATTTTTCCACTCCATCTGTCTAAACTACTGCGCTTGCCACAAAAAGTGATGCCAGGTCATACGAAGTGCTGCACCTGTCACGCAAAATCATCTCAGCAAACCTGAAGATCTGATGCTCCAAAATGCAACCTCTCAGGAAATCAGTGCCCCGACCTCCTAACAGCTCTGATGAACATGTCTCTTGTACTGCGCCTGCCGCGGAGAATGCATCTTTGCAGATCTTCTTCAAATGTCCCACGCCTGCCATTGTTTTTGGACATGCTACAAAACCCTCACGTTTTGCTCACTTTTGACAACGTACACAATCCCTTGTGCCTGCCACGCAAAACGACATCTGAACGTCCAAAAGTGCTCCGAACCCCTCAGTTTTTTGCACTTTTGACTTCGAAATGTGCTTCGCGCCGCAACGGCGTGCACTTTTTCGACATCTCAACTTCCAAAAGTGGTCCGAACCTAGTGTGTTTTGTACATTTTGACTTCCAAATGTGCTTCGCGCTACAACGGCATGCACTTTTTCGACATCGCAACTTCGAAAAGTTGTCCGAACGTGAGGTGTTTTTAGCTTTTTCACTTGCAAATGTGCTTCGCGCCACAACGGTGTGCAATTTTTCATCTCTCATCTGGCCAGCTGGCTCCGCACCCGCCGCTTTAGCGAGCCTACTTTTCGACCCTCCGGAGCCACAAATCATTGGAAAAGCGCTGTGTTTCGCGACTTTCCTACCTTTTCGCGCACCTGGATCTTCTTTCTTCGGAGACTTTCTCTTTCTTCTTCCCTTCTCTTCTCTGACTCTTCCCATCTCTGCTTTTCATTTCTCCATATTGTCGGAAGTTTGACTTCTAAACTTCCTTTGATAAACTAGTGAGCACCATCCGAATGAAGAAACTATGGGCTATGGGCTATGGGTTATTAATCTGGGGTTGAGATTATGGAGTGACTGACCATTGTTTTTCGATAATGGTTACATATGTATAAATATAAATACCTACATACAGATATGTCGGGTTATTTTGGATATATTCTACGTATTCTATTGATTCTACGTGTTGTATATATTCTATTGATTCTACGCGTTCCATATATTCTATACCTATGCAATCTATGTCCAATCATGTCTTTTGCTTATGATTGTCGGATTATTTTGGATGATTGGATTTTTGTTATATTTATCATTTGTTTGTCGTTCGATTCATTGTCCCTTGTAAGTAGGATATGTAGATGGGGTTTCTTAAAATGATTATGGCTCTTTAAAACCATGGGTTTCAATACTAAAAGAATATCATTTTGGATGATTTGGAGTACCCCCACTTGAGGAAACCTCCATATAACATTTCGAACTCTCATTTTTTTCGGACTTATCCCCAAACCATCTGATCTTTGATCTTTATAGTTGGGCCAAGAAAAAAATGAACGTGACTAATTGAAGGATGCTTCCTGGGCAAATCATAACCTCACTGGTCGACCTCACCACAAGTGATGCCAATTCGGGTATGTAGCCACTGAAATAGGGGATAAGTCTCAGCAACGAAATGCTTGGTAAATTGGAAGAAATCCGATGTTCCTTTTATATTTCGTTTGTACAATATAATATCATATATACATACACATAATTGTAATATTGTTATGTATTTGTATAATATATATATATATATATACTAGTAGATACACAGGTATGCAAAGATTTATTCACACAAACATGCATTCAGCTTTGCTAAAAGCAAACCAACCACACCATGCCACACCGACATAGGCCTTGATCCAGGGGCTTCTATAGATTTATACTCCGGAGTCGCCATTTTCACCAACTGTCATCTTATAGCTGAGGGTTTGAAATAGGGAATTCCATTACACATTCCCATGAGATCGCCAGTCAATGCCAATGGGAAATCCTCATAGATCACAAATTTGACTGGTTAAATCACAGTTTTTGCTGGTTGAATCCCCTTCAGGCAGCTGGTCGCCCTGGCAAGCCCCCAGGCACGTGGGCTTCGAGCCAGCGTCATGTGGGTTCCGGGGTTTATATGGGTTGATATGGTTTCATATGGTGATATAACATGACATAACCAGCAAAATTGTTTTAAACAATGTGATTTCATGGGATTTATCCAACAAAAATGGTGATTTAATGGCATTGAAGCAGCAAAACTGGAGACTTAACCATCAAAAATGTTGGTCTAATGGGATATTCATAGGAAATCATTGGAAATCAGGGGGATATAGCTGGAATCTATGTTGGTTTACCCCAGGGTACCCTCTGGCAATCTAACATACGTAGCTTATAGATGGCCCGATAAATTGAGGTTGTTTGATTTGTTTGGATTATACAAAAAATGCTAGTTATATGGGTTTACCCTCCGGTAATCAAACCTGACTTGCTGGAAAATCCACCATTTAGTTCCATGATTTTACCAGCCGTAAAGCTCGCTTTGTATCAAATGTGATTACCGGAGGGTTTTTGCATTTTTTTTCCTGGTTTTGTAGCTACGAATCCTGGAATTGGAGGGGCATTTTTCAGGACACCTCGAAAACAAAATGAGTACATAAAAGCCATGGTTTCCTGTAAATTTTGCCTTATTTCCAGCCATGGAAACAACCATCGGATCATCAGTTCATAGTGCTAGGGTCGGATTTAGGCTACTCAAAGGGACATCTACAAGCGAGTTGTGCTCCAATGATGTTTGTTGTTTTTTAAAGCCCATTAACTATAATTATAATATATTATAATTGTATACATATCATGAAATATCTATACCATAAATCCATCAAACCACATAACTATAATATACATCCCATTAAACCTGGTTAAACCATAGTTACCATGAACTTGCCCCGAGGTCCAGCGCTCGACCGACGCAAAGATCCCGGTCTCCGCGAGGCAACGGGGGAAAAACGCTAGAAGAGGAGACAAATGAGCCATAGATATAGAGGGTGAATGGATGTTAATGGGTTATGGTTATATATATATATACATACATACATACATAATTATACTATATACATATACTATATAGCTGGTTGGGCATTTCATAGGAATATTGACTACCCAACCAGAATATAAGTGATCTAAGGTGGTAAAACTATTAATCCTCTCTCCCTATTGCTAAAACACCCCCCACTCCCCCCGCCAAATGGTAAACACGGTGATCTAGTTTTATTACTAGGTTTTTTTTTTTGTATTAGGGTGCCCTTAATATTTCAATGAAAACCCTAATAATTAAAATAAGCTTCGGTGTTATCCCCATCAGCCGCAACGTTTTCTTGCTGAAGCGTGTTGCGAGGCCAAGCGCTGGAAACACCTCAGGTTGGTTTCCGTGAGCTAAATTGCCGCAAATCCCGTTGAACCTGACCCGGCTCTGCACCAAAGCCTCCCAGACCTTCTCTGGAACCTTCTCCGGAACCCTGTTGAACCTGACCTGTGCACCAAAGCCTCCAGACCTTCTCCGGAACCTTCTCCGGAACCCTGTTGAACCTGACCCGGCTCTGCACCAAAGCCTCCCAGACCTTCTCTGGAACCTTCTCCGGAACCCTGTTGAACCTGACCTGGCTCTGCGCCAAAGCCTCCCAGAAGCTTCTCCGGAACCTCCTTCGGACCTGACTCCGCACCACAGCCTCCCAGACCTTCTCTGCAACCTTCTCCGGAAGCCTACAGTATTGAACCTGACTCTGCACTAAAGCCTCCCAAACCTTCTCTGGAACCTTCTTCGGAACCCTGTTGAGCCTGACTTGGTCTGCACCAAAGCCTCCCGGAACTTCAAAGCGTTCCAGACCTTCACCGGAACCTCTTGACCTAGCGTGGCTCTGCACCAAAGCCTCCCAGACCTTCTCCGGAACCTTCTCCGGAACCGTGTTGAACTTGATCTGGCTCTGCACCAAAGCCTCCCAGAAGCTTCTCCGGAACGTTCGGAACCTTCTCCGGAATCTTGATCAACCTGACCCAGCGCCTGCACCAGTGCACACCGGAGCTATTCAGGGCTGAAAACCCCATTATCTTACGCTGTTGGGGAATAAAACAATTCGATTTCAAATTTGATTAAATCCCTTTTAAAAATCTATATAAAACATTGCCCAAAACTGGATTTCGAAGCTTCCCCTAACATTCCAATGAAAACCCTTAGAATAGAAAAAAACTCGATTTCAAATTTGATTAAATCCCTTTTAAAATATCTATATAAAACATAGCCAAAAACTGGATTTCGAAACTTTCCCCTAAATTTCCAATGAAAACCCTTAAAATAGAGAAAAGCTCGATTTCAAATTTGATTAAATCCCTTCCAAAAATCTATATAGAATATTGCCAAAAACTGGATTTCGAAGCTTTCCTCCAATATTCGAATGAACACCTTAATAATAATATCTATATATATATATAACATATAAACTTGTGAGATGGGACCCTAATAAAAAACCTCCAGGTGGCAATTCATTTTTATTAATAGGGGGTTGAACCCATTGTTTCACCATCCTGTGCTCCTATTGATTCTCAATTAATGACCACAATTAAGAATCCAATTGTGCCCAACCAAAAAACCGGAAGTGCCATACGGACCAATCCTTTTTTTTATTTGGGGCAGTTTTAGTAATAGGAAGAAGGGATTAATAAACCCATATACTATATACATCTATATACCATTTGGGGATGGTTTCAATCGCACCCATCAAAAATTAGTGTTTTTGGGGATGGTTTGTTCCTGGGTTTACCACATGATATACTGGTTTACTGGTTTATTGGGGATCATTGTGGATGTTTATAAACCATTTCCTGGGACATGCCGCAATCGAGTCCAGGAGTCCAGCAATGATGCAATGGCCTTATTTTTTGGGGGAAACCAATCTACCCAACCTGGTTATGACTAACATAGCCATGGTATAGATGGCCCATAGAAATAGATGGTTTACCTATTAAAAATGGTGATTTTCCATGGCTATGTTAAATAACCAGATGGTATGTTCTTGGTTGGGGAGCAGGGTTTCAAGTTGGTGATTCATACATTGGAAATCGCCAACATTTTGGTCCTTTGGCTTTGTCTTGGGACCCCGATTGAAGACCTGGTTCAAATATCGGAGTCAGCCATGAGCCATGAGCATCCACCAAGAGCCGAATTCCTTCCCAGATTTTTTTTACTAGATGAAATAACCAGCCTTTCTTTCAAGTCTAGACCTCTAATATTGGATCATTGGATCTATGGATTTTTGTGCCCCTTATTGGGCCTATGAATTCATCTGCTGGCAGGTCCAACGAATGCCCTGCGCCATGTTCATATCCCACCGCTCCGGGCGGAGCGCGGGGGGGCCCGGTTGGGTCCTGGGTCAACCCCCTGGGACCCCTGGTGGACACCATTCTTGGGGTGGTAAAAGGACGTAAATGGATGTTCCACCAATATGACGGTAAAATGGATGGTAACATACTTGATTATACATTTGATTATACATTGGTGTATACCTATTACTCCCTATTATGTCATATATTGGGCTGGTAATTGGAATGTTCATCCAAACAACATATGGTACTAGTATAGTAAACCTATAGTAATGTATAATAAGGTTTGATTCATCCCTAACTTGATGACACATCAATACAACTCAATTTTGGGTTTCCACATTTTGAGACAAACCCAGATGGTTTCATTACATGGTGGTGGAAGTGGCATTGGCATGGTGATCTATCTCGCTGGTCTTGTTAGGAAATCAAGTGTGATGTGCGGACTCTATGGGACATTTGTGCAGGTTTACTTGATAAATAAATAATGTTATATATCATGGTATAATATATCTAACTTTTGATGGTAAATATATCATTGATGCTGAACTTTTGAGTCTGCCAACGCCTTAACAAACCAATGTCTCTTGACCGGGTACCACCCCAACTATTGGGGCTACTTTTGAGCGGCATTTAAGAGCAACTGGCAATGCGGGTTATTCACCCATTGGGAAGGGATGATTTTGTTCTTTTGTAATTGTTCATCTTCATATATCATATTTACTATCATTATATTTCAACATGTGATAATTTTGCTCAACATACTGTATGTCGGGACGTTTGATCAGTTTGAAAAAGATCATGAATACATCTCTGAACAAAAGGCACATCTTTCATGGGTTTTATGTTTTTCCTCAGATGTTTTCCTTTTTCATATTCTTTTTTTTCAGATGTTTCTTGCATCCCCAAACAAACAGAACTGGCGGTCTCACCCTCATTTGGGTGTTTTGAACCCTGGCTTGATGTAAATTGTGTTGTCCCTGCAACCCGATCCACGGAATCTTCATTTTTGTGTTGATGAAGTCCCAACTCATCGGTTGTTACAACTCACAATGTTTCCCTTTCAACCCATTCAACAATGAACCATTTGCAACAAAAAACATATTTGATTTGCAACTAAAAACACTGGTTTCCTGCAAAAACTCTTCCAATCCATTGAACAATTCATTTTTGGGATGTTTCAATGGCAATCTTTGATTAAATGTGATTACTGTAATTCATATTAAATCCATAAACAAATCCCAATTTTCCCTTCAACCGATCCAGTGAAGCTTCATTTCCTATTTGTTTGGTTGATTCCATCCCAATTTTTCTTGGGTGAAGCCTCCAATGTTTCCAATACATGCAAAAATCCCTATTTTGGATGGCCAAATTACATATTCATGGATGAAATGGCGATTCAATCCCGATGTTCCCTTCGGATCTATTGAATCTTAATTTTTCCTTGAAGTCCCAATGCAAGTAGTTCCTTAGTGAAACAATTTGCCATGGAACATCATCATTTTTAATAGCTAGACATGGGTCATTTCCACATCTACGCTCGTTTACTAGAGTGTAATTCCGAATGGATGGAATGATTTACCTCCAATTTATGGAGGTTTAGTAGGATTTTCACCTCATGGAGCATGAATGAACCATATCAAAATTATTAAACCATAACCATAGTTGTTAGCCTAGTTATGAACTACAGTTACACTAGTTCAAGCCCCATAATTAGCGTCTAATCATCCCAGTTCCCATGAAACCCCAATCGTCCGTATCGCCCGTCGCCAGGCCCCGGTCCTCCTCCGGGTGACTGGCGCAGCGCCTCGAGACGTCGAGGCCGTGGATGGCTATGGAGGGAGCATGGGATTATATTGATTAGTAATATATACATATATATATACATATATATATATATATATATTTAAATGGATTTAAAATGATTCTGATGGATTTTTGATATATGGGGGTTTCTATTAAGCAATAGGATCCACCATCCCCAAATATACCCCCCTTATGGGTGTGTTTTGAAACATCAATTTTTGTGCGTGGTTTATGACATTGCTTTACTAAGATTAGTGAATCATGGGACTACACACATGAGTTTTATGGAGTTTTCTACTATGTGTTTTTTTTGGCTGTAATCCATGGAATGATATGGCGAACTCTGGTTTAATATGGTTCAAACTGGTTTGATAAGGGCAGTAAATGGTCCGTATGGCCTTTGGTTTTCTACATAGGAACCCGATTTTGATGGAATTTTGGTATGGATTTGTTGTTCGGAAGCGTCAACTTGACGGCCCGTGGGGGGAATCTGTACGGAATGAAGATGGAGAAATGGCAAGTCTGTGACTCTGGAAGCTATGAAGGGATGGATGTGCAGGACCCAGTTTCTAACTGGGGATATTGTGATTCCTGGGATGCACCAGTAGTGAATCTCACCCAAAACTAGGGGTGAATACACTAATCATTTGAGATGAGATGGGTATGGGTCAAGCCATTACCGAAGCACAGATGCATTGGTCAATAGGATCGTAAACCATCCTGTTTCGGGTACCAAATTTTGACGTGAATAGTAGGTCAATGGGAGTTGAATGGGAGATTAGTGGGAGGTGGAAGTGTCAAATTTTAGATACTTCAATGGAGAATCATTATTGAACAGAAGGGCATATTCATGAATGATCACCAGAAAAAAGCATTTAACACTGTAATTATGTTAAAATTACATACATATTAACAAAAATGGTGTAGGGTATCCAGGGTTAGCCATGTCAAGGTAGCACCCTTTCAATTGAGAAAAACATCAATACAACATGGTGAATTTGGGGAATTTCACCTAGGAAATCGTGACTCAAGCAAGAAGACTTAGAATATAGTGGAATATTGTCAAGTCCAAATGGGGACTCAAGCAGCGAGAATGGAGATTTGGTGTATGATATGCTGTGAAACTGGAAATGCTTTCGGGATGCGCAATTTTCGGAGGCAGCATGTTTTTTTTCAGGAGACCAACTTAAAACCGGGGATGGAACTAACAAGACTGCGAACGTACCATCTAATAATTTGTGATCGATGTTTATCGAACATCACCACTCTTAATAGGTAAATCATCGAACCACATGGGCCATCTATAGCTACGTACGAAATTACCAGACGGTACCAGGGTACTCTAGCAAATATTGGGATTCGACCAAGTGGCTCATGCGGGAGCTACTTACTGCTTAGTGCTGGGATATGCCCTTGGATATCTTGGAATGGTTCATCTTGATCTTCATCTTTGTACCTTGATGTAGGCCAGATATTACCTATGATTGACAACATATCTAGTATTATAGTATTATACACCAATATATTATCTAACACAACATATACACAATGATACACCATATATATATATATTTAGTATACAATGTATATCGTGCATATATATATATATATATTATATTCAATATACTATGTATATTTAAGTGTATTTTATACAATATATATATATATGGTTCTATATGTACATATTATAATATACATACAGTATAGCATCATATTGTATATTACATCAATATCATATCATATTGTATACATTGTATCATTTTTCAAACACATTACATTCCATTCCATTCCATTATATAGATTTTAGATTTTAGATATAAACATATATATATATATACACACATAGAACAGATAAAGATATAAATATAAATAGAACTATAGATATAGGTATAGATATATAATCTATAATCAATATGAATAGAACTATACAGGATGGTGCCCCCCAGTTATGTTTGTTGGTTTATAAACCCGATTAACTATAGTTATATCTGCCATAAACCATAGTTATGGGAGTTATAAACCAACTTAGCTAACTATGGGGCACCACACTTTGTATACACTTTATTGGCCATAGCTCGGCCGTCGCTTCGGCCGCGGCTCGAGGCCGTCGCGAGCGGCGCCGCTCACGGGAGCGACGGCGGGGAACTCGAGGTGATGGTAAAACACCGGGAAGCGGGACACCCGGTGGGTAAAACACCCGGAAAAAGTGGTGGTTCTACCATCGAAAACGGTGGTTTAATGAAGACAAGTGCTGGAAACTACCGTGAAAAACGGTGGTTTAACCACGAAGCATAGTGATTTCATCGTGAAGAAGGAAGAAGGAATTTTAAGCTCTGAAACCGACTGAAAAACAATTATTGTATTTCGATTCATAGTTGAAATGTAGAAAACCCACTGGAAATGTGGGTCCTTGGGGCATAATCACATGGGGTAAAATAGGTTTGTGTAGGGATGTAATGGGGACATGTATAACAACATCATTTGTCTGTCACGATGAGTGAATTATATCGACCTCACTCGCCAACGTCGCCATGTAAGCCAATAAGTACGGGTGAACCAACTTGTTCAATGGGGATGGTACAGATTGCGGGAATTAGCTATCAACAAATGGGAATTTTTGATCTTCAGAGAATCTGGATTTTATCTACGAAATATAGGGATTGAACAATACTTGGATGATGCACTGGTCTTTATAGCTAGTGCAGAAGAAAAATGTAGTGACTTAGACTTTGAAGGGTATCTCATTTCTACTTTTGAACCTGCTTGGGATGATGATTCCAACTGACAAAAAAAAGTTTGGGGATGGGATAAACGCAGGAAGTCTTGAACATACATTTGGGCAATTGTTGGGGTAAGCTTTGGTAAATATAATAGTCACGATGCGGCAAAGCCAATCAAAACCAAACCCTATTTCATACTTTGGGGTACGGCGTATCATAAGCAATATCCAACGGGGTTCACAATCTGTTTACCACATTGACATGAATTTGTTTATTACTATAATAGCTGGCCAGGTTGTTAATAAGCCTGTTCACATCCCAGTCTACTGCATTGGCTAGCAGGAATTGGAGACCTGCCAGCCTGGGGTATTAATCATTAATCATCCCCAGAAATGGAGGGGAAAATGATCAATATTTGGCAATTTGGTGGTGAACCTGGTTGCCTTTTTCTATTTTTCTCTTTTTCTCCCTTTTTCCTCCAAGCCACTTCGCCCGGATTCAAACATGGTTAACCGTCCCTATTGAAATATGATCCCAGACAATGTCTGGATTAAACCGACTCGATCAGCCATAAATGTCATCATCCGGTTGTATGTTGGGCCCCGGACATTTCCCGTCACATTTCTGGACAAAGAACGCATCGTACTTTTCATACAGTCAGATAGTTAAAGCGCCATAAATTTCACCTCAAAGCAACCCAGCGAGTCACCAGATTTCTATGGTTTCAATTGTTTTAGTTGGTGAACTCCCATACTCAAAGCCACAGAGATTACATGTTGGAATATGTTGGACAGCAAAATGGTGTCACGTTAAGTGTTTGAGACAGAAACTCATTAACCAAATTTAACAAAAAAAAGCATGGTGGCCAAGCAATGTCCTGTGACACCCACCATTGATCAGCATTTTGTCGCACCCAAAATGGTCAACCGAAGGGCCGTGAACCTTCCTACTGCAGACTGCGTATGCAGGTGTCCGACCCTCGCGCGGTGGACCCCGACAAGGTGCTGACCGGTGTGTGTCGATACATGGGTATGGGCCAGTATGGGTCAAATCGGGCTACCCCAATAATTGGATGGCTAATTAATAGACTTAAATCATCTTAAGTCATCTTAAGTAAGCTATCTTAAGTCCCCAGGATTTTAATTTTGACTCACGCCCGCATAAGCACAATACTACTTGTCATACATAAAGATATGAACATGAATGAAATTGATTAAACATGTATACTTTCATAATATGTATGACTATGGGTACACGGATTGTATCTACAAATATAATCCCATCCTGGCGTTAGGAACAGTTTGAGAATTAGCCATCAGAAGTGGTCTTCCCCCAGCCCAAGGCAGGGTTTGCATGGGATATAACCTCAGCTAACCCTCTCTTTGGAGAAATTAGAATTGGCGGTAGGCTTGGCAATCTCATATGTTTCTACTTTTGTTTAACTGGTTAAGCACTCATAGTTAATCTCCCTTATACAAATGTGAAAGTATACATATATACATATATTCAAATGCATATATATATATATTGCAGACACATATATATATATATATATCTATAATATCATATATATATATATATATCTATGGTATGTATTATGTATATGCCTACGGCAGGAAAACCGTACGTGCGTTTTGCTTCTTTTTTGGTATTGCTCTTTGTCTTGGGGGGGGTGGGGTGGGTGGGGGGGCATGTTAACTTCCTTGTACTTCGTACATGATATATTGCCATGCTAGTGGTTGGGTTGGGGTGGGGTGGGGGTGGGGGCATGTTAACGTTCCTCGTTACGTACAGGATATATTGCTCTTTAGTGTGGGTTGGGGTTGGGGTGGGGTGGGGGGGCATGTTAACGTTCCTTGTACTTCGTACAGGATATATTGCGATGTTGCTAAGATCTCTGGGCTCTTTTACTACGTTACAGGTTGCTACGCTGCTGGTATCTCTGAGATAGTTTCCTACGTTACAGGTTGCTACGCTGCTGAGATCCTTGGGATCGTTTACTACGTGACATGTTGCTACGCTGCTGACATCTAGGATCTTTTACTACCTTACAGGTTGCTACGCTGCTGAGATCCTTGGGATCGTTTACTACGTGACATGTTGCTACGCTGCTGAGATCTCTGGGATCTTTTACTACGTTACAGGTTGCTACGCTGCTGAGATCCTTGGGACTTTCTTACTACGTTACAGGTCGCTACGCTGCTGAGATCTCTGGGATCGTTTACTACGTGACATGTTGCTACGCTGCTGAAATCTCTGGGATCGTTTACTACGTGACATGTTGCTACGCTGCTGAAATCTCTGGGATCGTTTACTACGTTACATGTTGCTACGCTGCTGAGATCTCTGGGATCTTTTACTACGTTACATGTTGCTACGCTGCTGAGATCTCTGGGATCTTTTACTACGTTACAGGTTGCTACGCTGCTGAGATCCTTGGGACTTTCTTACTACGTTACAGGTTGCTACGCTGCTGAGATCTCTGGGATCGTTTACTACGTTACAGGTTGCTACGCTGCTGAGATCCTTGGGATCGTTTACTACGTTTTACTTGCAACATGATGTTTACCTGGATTTGTTAAACATCAATAGATTTTGCATCCACTTTTTTGAACCCAAATTCAGTTATCCAAACTGATCGGAAGAGCATTTTATATTGTAAATTACAGGTGATTGTGACTCTCCTGGAAGCAACCAATCAAAACGCTCGCGCGGTTTCCCTTCCGCCGGGATGTATATGATATATAATATATATGATATATATTACGTATATACATGGCATACATATATACATATTATATATATATATGTATATATATATAGATATAAAATCATATATATCTTTAATGTGTATATATACCATATAATATATATATATCATATACTGGTTGGTGGTTTGGAACATTTTTTTATTTCCCCCAATAGTTGGGATGCTGATCCAATCTGACTAATATTTTTTCAGAGGGGTTGAAACCACCAATTAGTATATATATAATATGTATATATATATATATAATATGTATATATATATATCATATATAGTATATATAATATATAATATATACATCATATAATGTATATATATATATATATGATATATATCAATATCGCACACATATATATATAATAATAATAATAACAATAATAATAATATATATATATATTGCATATATATAAATTACACACACATATATATATATATATATCATATATATATTATATATATATATATATCTATGATATGTGATATATATATATATGATATGTATATATATATATACATGATATATATATATACAAATATCGTATATATGATATATATATATGCAATACATACATATATATATATACACATTGCATTTAGTATCCTATATATTGCACATATATACATAGCACATATATACATATATAGCATATATATATATATAGCTAAACTCGCTCTCCAGGCTCTCGGAGGCGCGAAGCGCGCGAAGCGCGCGAAGCGCGCGAAGTGCGCCAAGCCAGGACGCTCTCACGTCCAGGTGAGGAACCCCTTGGGTTTCACCGTGATAGGAAAACCATAGGAAAACCATAGGAAACCAATAGGAAAACCATAGGAAAATGGTGGTTTAATGGGATTCAATGGTGATTGAATGGTGATTTACCATAGGATTTACAGAAAAAAATTGAGAAGCCATGGTTTCCCTAAAGAAATGATCTGCAAATGGTGGCTGGTCCACATCTATGGCAACGTTTACAGGAGGGTAGCCATGAAGAACGAAGGTTTCAGATGGTTTCACTATGACACATCTCCGACAAGAAATCATTTAATGGTATTTTAAGCATGAACAATTAGGGATTTCACCAATGATTCAGCATTTCATATTCTGATTTACCAGCAATTTGTATCAACAAACATGTGGAACATGTGGACTTGACCAAGAAAGATAAGTAGATGGTACCATTCAAAGTGGTTGTGGGTTTTGTGGTTGCCATCGCCCAAAAAAATTGGAGATTCAGTAGAGAAGCAGACTGGTCACCTATCGAACCCTTCATTTATGTGGATAGGAAATCGATGGAAAATCGATGGTTTTCTCGAAGTTCTCCCTTGAATCAAGCCCAGTGAACTAGGGTTGCATGAATTGCAAGATACAAAGTTTGAAGGTTTCTATTTCATTTAACACTGCAAAGGTACGAAGTTTATCTACCCACACTTGCTGCTTCCGTTTGATTTTGATTCCTGGCCATTGATAAAAATTGATCCCCTGCGCAGGTAAGTTGGTTACAAACCCATAAAACCCAGTTCGCCAAATTACAGACCAACTCACCCACCATCCACATATAGCTTGGTTAAATCACAATGACCAAGGAAACCCTTCCAGTACCGTCCATTTGTGATGCGTTGCTGCTTGAAGGTGGTCGAAAGCGTAGTCGTGCGGCCACGGTGACACCGCGAGGTATCGGATGATATCGGATGGGGATACCGCAAGGATCAAATGTTGACCAAACATCAGCAATGTATATTAATGTTGATTAATGTTGATCAAATGTTGACCAAACATCAAGGTGGATCAAATGTTGATCAAATGTTGATTAATCTTGGATTCGGAGCCCTGGTTTTAATATGTTTTAATCGGGGATTTATATTTAAGTATATCATGGTTGACTACAGTATATCAGAGATTTATCAAATATATGTGGGGCTTCTAGGTCTTAGATCCAGGTACTGGGTTCTATACTGTTCTATGAACTGATCCCCCAATTCCTCCCTATCAGAATTAGTCATGATACTGATGATAGCAATCATCACGATCCCATCCCCCCAAATGTTCAACACCCGAAACATTTATGGTTCCAAATGTGTAAATCCCCTACTAAACAATGGTTTCTGATGTTTCATGTTAGGGGGACACCGCGCATGTTTTTCCGATGTGCGAAATGAGACATTATGGTAGCCACCATTCAACCACCATGAAAGTTAATTTCTCCCACCATTCTTCCTGTGAAAATCCACAAGAAGCCAAGCTTTTCTCCTCTTGAAACCCATTTTTCCCAGCATTTTTCCCACTTTTTCCCAGCATTTTTCCTGTTGAAATCCATTTTTCGAATCACCGGTTTGTTCCTCCAGATCCAGCTCCAGGTCCACGGAGCGCGAGTCCAGGACTTTTTTCACAACCAGTGGTTTTGTTTCCCGTGGCAAACATATGGATGTGGGTCAAAATGGAAGACCTAGGGGACCACAGATGTGAATGTCTAGTTTAGTATTCACCATCCAAATTTTGGGGTACCTAATTTTGACCCATAGCCATATGATGTACGCCAGGTCAATTCAGGGACCCAGGGGATGGGTCAAAATTTGAGACCTGGAAAGCCACAGCTTTCTAGTTTTAGCATGTTTTAGCATCATCCTGTGATTGGGGTACCCAATTTTGATCCATAGCCATGTGTGTGTATCCTTAAAATAAGGGATCTCCAAGTCACCGTGGGTTTCGATGATTTGGGGGTACCTCCACTTTAGGAAACCTCCATATATGTATATATAATTCGATAATTCGTTGACCTAATTAGATATATATATATATGTATAATTATATATATATACGTATATACACACATACATATTTCTGCAGTATATCAGGTACCTTTATATTCATACATGGGTATCCCAAAGCTGCGGTTTTTCTTGGTGGAGTCCATATTCTGGAATGATATTGGGTCGCGCTCTTGTCCTTTTGCTCGGAAAAAATATTTCTCTTTGCTGATTTCGGGCCACAGCTTGCTAGCCCAAAAGCATTCTACCTAATTTTCACCAGCAAAAAACGAAGGATTAACTGAGAACAAACAACAGAGACACTCTGAGGGTCGTATCAAGAAACCATCGAGTTCTTACTGCATGGTTTACCACTCCTCAATCGGGTCCCTGACAAAGACTAGTAAGAAACTGCCGCGGTGAATTCTCAGGCCTAGGAAGATGAGTTATATAGGTTTGGAATGAGATATGGTGATATGGTATATATTTATATATGTTACATATTAAAGTATAGTGTAGTATAGTATGGTATGGTATAGTATACTATACTGTAGTATAGTATAGCATTGCATAGTATAGTACAGTATAGTATAGTATAGTATGATACACTATGATACTGATATAGGATATGATATATTATACATGAAGTAATGAGATTAAACAGAGAAGCTGCAACATGGTGTAATATAGCATATAATATTCAATACATATATATAAGACAATATAATACAATACCACATATTGCATTACAATTGTAGTACAATGCATTAATCAGACTATAACTTTGTCATATAATATTAAATACATGACATGACATACAATTTTAGGTCATAGTCTTATATATATATAGTGTAGTCAGATTATACCCCAAACAAGGAAAAGAAGGGAAGACCCCATTTTTTTGTATATAGGTAGGATCCCAGCATTGATCAGTCGCCCTTCCCTGAACCTTGAAAATAATATCTCTTTTTTTTGTGGACACCAATCTTCCAACCCCCTATTTGGCAGGGTCTACTTGTTGTCTCATCCCACTGAGTAAGTGCGTTGCAATCCCAGTTGTGACTGGACCAACCCTAATTAGCCTATGTACAATTGGGGTTGTAACCCACGTACTAGCTGGAATGAGCCACCAAGTATGTTATATAATTTAATAGATGGTAATCAAGTTAGAATTCGGGTTTATTTTCGATGCACTCCACGTTTTGGCTGACTTCTCTGTATTGTTTATGAGCCAAGTCATCCGCATGGCTAGCGCTCCATGTATTATCCCATTGATCCCATGTGGCAAAGAAACATACTCCGTGATCGGGTTTATTGTTGGGTTTACCACATTGTGGCCCACAGTATCCCAATCATTGTTGTGGCTATAAGTGAGTTACTATAAGCATTTAAAATACGCCATACGTGTATAACAAGTTCACCCCAACCCGGACATTTTTCCACACTTGCAATCGTCATGATCATCATCATCATCATAATCATAATCTTTATCTTCATGAGGGATCAAAATTCACCACCCGCTATGAAGAATATGTTGACTGGGGTAATAACATCAACCTTATCTCCATAAAGGATCAAAATTCGCCACCCCCTATGAGCAATATGTTGATTGGGGTAATAACATCAACTTTATCTTCATTAGGGATCAAAATTCGCCACCCCCTATGAACAATATGTTGGTTGGCGCAATAACATCAACCTTATCTCCATGAAGGATCAAAATTCGCCAATCCCTATGAACAATATGTTGATTGGGGTAATAACATCAACTTTATCTTCATTAGGGATCAAAATTCGCCAGCCCCTATGAACAATATGTCGGTTGGCGCAATAACATCAACTTTATCTTCATGAGGGATCAAAATTCGCCAACCCCTATGAACAATATGTTGACTGGGGTAATAACATTAACTTTATCTTCATGAGGGATCAAAATTCGCCACCCCCTATGAGCAATATGTTGATTGGGGTAATAACATCAACTTTATCTTCATTAGGGATCAAAATTCGCCACCCCCTATGAACAATATGTTGGTTGGCGCAATAACATCAACCTTATCTCCATGAAGGATCAAAATTCGCCAATCCCTATGAACAATATGTTGATTGGGGTAATAGCATCAACTTTATCTTCATAGCCACCTGAAGTCAGACGCGGAGCAACGTCAGGGTTGCAGCGAACAAGTTTATTCTCAACCATTATTCCACCTGAGATCGAGTCTAGGGGGCCCTTCATTGTTAGCTATTTCCGTTATTCATGGCTGAGTTTCCCTAGCTTTTAATGCTTAGATCCCCACTCTGGGTTTTGTTCATCCCAATGAACGCATTTTCTTGCTTGTAAAGCACCATTTCTTGGTGGTTTGTTTACAACCACCATTTCTTTGTGGTAAATTCCGGTTCAGGCTGGTCTACATAATCATAATCCCCTAGATAAATTCATGTGGTTTTGCCATTCTTTTGGCTGCTTCAATCCCAAGTCTTTGATGCTTAAATCACAAAAAAATGTGTCTGGTAAACAAGTTTATATTCTCTATGAGCCATTAAAATTATCCGGGTTGATGGGTGAATAATGGTGAATGTAGGGACTTGCCGAAGTTAGGGATTATGATCACCCAGGGAAACCTATATATATATATATATATCAACCGTCGAATCCCACACCTCAGGACAGCGCGAAACCCGCGAAACCCGCGAAACCCGCGCGGCCACGCGCACGGCCACGCGGTCGCCACGGTCACCCCGCAGGGGAAGCCCAGGAACCCTTGCGAAAGATGAACGAAATCCATCAAAAGTCGTGCGACATACCGTGGTTTTACCCGTACAAAAACGCGGAGTGACAATGGTTTTCGCCTGGTTTTGCAGAAATGTAAGGGCGTTACCATGGTTTACACATGAAAAATGAGAGAATCCGAGAGAATTGGAAACTCATGGACACAAATTAGGGGAACACCACGAAAAGCTGGGTCACCAAATGGGAATAAATTTGGGATCATTATTTTGGTGTGTAATCAAGCAAGTGGTTCAGAAACATGTTGAATTTGTTCACTGATATATCTCTCTTTATTATCTGGGATGCAGTTCCAAATAGAAACGTAATTCACCAACAAATCAGTCGGAGATATTTTCGCCTTTTTTCGGGGGACTCGGAAAAACATGCTGTCATACTTCTCATGTGCCTAAGAAACATGCTTCGAACACATTATTAAATGCGATTTTTTGAGAGGGACCATCTTAGACCTGATCATTTTCAGGGGGATTCAACGACCCCCCAAAGGTGAAACCCCAACAATGGCTGGACCTTTTTAGCCAGTGATTGTTGGGTTAATTGGACCCTCACAATATCCACACTCCACGTCCACCTTCAGGCGAAACAAGCAAGCAGCCAGAGGCACTTGGGGATGGTTTCAGTCGCCATCTTTGGAAAGTCATTCGGGATGATTTATGGCGGTTTACCAATTTGTTCATTGAATCATATGAATGTAATATTCTATATATACCCTGAGAGTCCAATGTTGATGTTTACCTACGCATTTCACTAATGTCGAAGTTTACCTACGCATTTGTGTAATGTCGATGTTTACTCATCAATGTCGATGTTTACCCTTGAGACATGATGTGCAGCAAATTTATCAACCTTTTGTACTGCTGCCGGATCTTTATCTTGGACGTGCTTTATTAGTCAAACTCATGCGATATCACTTTGAATCACATTTGACACAGAATTTCCCATAGGATGTTGTTTTGTTTTCACTCAACGATACATATATGTTTGCATGAGAGCAGGTGTTTTGCCCTAGATGCCCCCAAACTCAATCTTGGAAACAAAAGACATCATGGGACAGCCGTTCTTGACAAGCAATTTGGATGCGGTTGGCATCCGGATGACCAGACTGGTTTAAAAAAACAAGAAAAAACACAAAAACACATTATATTCTAGGGGTGGCTCTTTTCCTCGGGTAAACATCGCATTTCACGGGTAAACACCGCATTTCACGGGTAAACACCGCATTTCACGCAAACTTCACGGGTACTTCACGCTATTTCACGCTCAAGAATCTAAAGATTTTGGGGGGTTTGTCTGGTTTTTCAGTGGCCACACCGAGTTACCGATTTTTTTGGACATTAATCTGGGGCATGAGCTTTTGGCAGTGGTATATGTCCAAACCGTTTAAGGTCCCATGTTTTGCCCGTGAACTCTGACAGTATATTTGCAAATAGGGTTCCTTGATTTGTTTCCTGTCCGTAAATTCAATACCTGTAGGATCTTGTAGGTTTCAAATTCAGTTCCAAGGGCCCTACATGCTGGGAAATTGGCATGATAAATACATGTATGATGATTTTGCACTTCATTGCGCTTCCAAGGTCCGTAGATTTCTTCACAGGGGTTAAACATCGACATTGGGAATGTCGATGTTTGCCCAACCCAAACATCAACATTGTCCGCGTAGGAGGTAAACTTCAACATTGACGCCCAGGGTATATATATATATGTATATTTACTGGGGATGGTTTAGTCTAGTCTGACCGTAGTCTGACTCCTCGACCGTTTTAACTTCACGTCGCTTACCCTCAATGGAGGCCAGCGCAAGCCGCGCAAGCTCTGAGTGCAGTTCTCCCAGGCCCAGAGCGGTGAAAGCCATTTGGGAACCATGAACCAACTGCACCACAGATCGAAGACTCAACGTGTGCTGCAAATTATGAGGAAATCATCGGCATGCTGGATTCTGAACGATCTTTTTGTGGACAGCGGGGATCCCCTTTGTCAAAATGCACGTGTAATCTTGAGGCCCTTGGTAATGATGTAGGCGTTACAAAGTCCTCGCACTGACTGAAGATCTCCCCTGGAACTGGATGTCCTGTGGGGGTTCACTGCAGCCGATCGGTTTTTTTCCCTCTGTGCAAAGAATACCACATACTGTTGTAATCCAATGATAAGGTGACAAGGCCCGTTTTTTTTGAATAAGGTACCAGTATGTTTTTTTGATGCGCTCCAAATCACAAAATTGGTAAATGGGGCATGGTTCATTATTGGTTGTCAGATGAGGAGCCCTGGGATAGCCGATGATTGGGTCACTGGCATTGGTTTCTGAACAAACTCCATTTTTGCTTTTAGATCCCTCCAATTTCCCCCATCCTTGTTGGATATATCTCCTCTTCTCCCACCAATAAACCTCCATTCACATGGTTTTTGATTCAACGTGGATTTCCCCACCTTTCCCCCCTTTTTTAGTCTCGGATCCTGCGAGGGCCAAGAGCAAGGCCAGCAGGCGCAGCGCCAGTAAGGCCAGTAAGGCCAGTAAGGCCAGTAGCAAGGCCAGCAAGGCGCGCGGGACGGTGGAGGTTTCCTAAAATGGAGGTACCCCAAGTCACCATTGGTTTCAAGGCTCACATTACCCAAATGGTCCAATGACTGGGGGAAAACAGACTGTGCCACTGTCACTGTAGAAAAAATGAGGATGATGTACCTGATACCTGCAAGAAGAACGAGGGAAGCTGGTTCAAAGCTTGGATTTTTTTCAATGGATATTATCCAGTAATCAACATGGCATGCTGGAAAAGTCGCTATTTTGTTTGATGATTTTCTCATTAAAACTTCGGTTTATTGGGGATCTCCAATTGGAATGAAACGTTTGATGACAGCACAAGAGGCTATTCGGCTATTCAGTGATATTCATCCCATCAACGGTCCAGTATTGACCGGTCGTCGGCGACAGGAGTCACAAGAAGAACAAGCAGAGGTGGAGGCATGGAGCCGTTGTGATGGATTAGATCGCCAACAACTAGATGTGGGTCAAAATGGAAGACCTAGGGAACCACAGATGTGAATGTCTAGTTTAGTATTAACCATCCATAATTTTGGGGTACCTAATTTTGACCCATACCTAACTAGATGATTAGATTCTTGTGGTTTTGGAGATGTGGTATGATATGGTTAGATTGCCACACAAAACACGACGACTAAGAGTATCCGATATGGTAATTGAGCGGAACATGGACATGGTCCATTTAGTTCGATGATTTACTGAAGCTAAATATGGTGCTTTTCCACTTCGCTATGTTAAAATGCCGGGAGGGTATCTAAAAGTTGAGCTTTCGGCTTTTAGCAAGGGATTAACAAACCAACGTGTTTTTTTTTCATGGCCAATCTAGCAAAAACCGTTTAGAAAAGACATGTTGTAAGGCATGACCTTTATCTAGATTTGTTCATTGGGTTTATGCAATGTATGATTACGTATATATTGCTCTACAGGAAGCGCCCTTTTACATCCTGTACCAGACAGAATCTGCGGTTCGGTTTGATGGTAAATGTTCACCGGACCAACATGTTCATTTGTTTTGCCCTCTTGGAATTTAAGACAGTGGTGGAAATTCACAATTTTAATAGGTAATCATCAGACTAAATGGGGATGGCTGCCATATTTTTCCATAGCTTTCTTAAATTATGGAGAGTAATTACACTTGCTAACCATCTATTTTATAGATGATTTTCCCATTAGAACATATTAGAACCTTCATTTATTTATAGATGATGTTCCCTAATTCCCTACAGATACCTCCACGAGTTTCCTCTACACTTTTTTAGGGCATGATATGGGCATGACCCTAAAGTTTGGAATTTTGTAGAGGGATACTTTGGGGTAGCAGTACCGTGTGCATCTGACCCATGTTTGTAATTTTGTAGGCGTTTTAAAGGGTACTTTTTAAGGGTGCACTTAAGAAACCCCCTGTTTGGGATTTTGTAGAGAACCAGGATTTTGTAGAGCGGCAATTCGTAAGGGACCCTTGTTTAGGATTTTGTAGAGAACCCTAAAAACCAAAAACAAATAAACTCAAAATACGTCAAAGCCGCTCAAACACATTCAAACGAAGGAGTGTTGACCAAGCATGTTCTGCAAACATACCGCGTGCACTTCCTGTTTTTGCACGTGATTTACACCAATCGTTGTTGTGTTTTTTTTGTTTCGTGTTGCTTTTAGCGCTTGCACCCCAGACTGGGGTAAAATTGCGATTCTACATCCTCGGCGGCAACCATTTCGCACGAAATGAGGTTTGAGTGTCAAAAACTGAGGGTTTTTTGCGAATTTCGTTGGTCCGGCGGCAACCCTTTCGCTCGAAATGATGTTCGAGTGTCAAAACTGGGGTAAAATTGCGATTTTACATCCTCCGCGGCAACCCTTTCGCACGAAATGAGGTTCGAGTGTCAAGAACTGAAGGTATTTGGTGAGTTTGGTTGGTCCGGCGGCAACCCTTTCGCACGAAACAAGGTTCGAGTGTCTAAAACTGATGGTTTTTTGCGAGTTTGGTTGGTCCTGTTAAAAAGGTCTGTGTGTAAAAACGTCTGTGTGTAAAAGTGTCTGCGCGTAAAAGCTTCTGTGCGTAAAAGCTTCTGTGTGCAAAAGCTTCTGTGTGTAAAAGCTTCTGTGTGTAAAAGCGTCTGTGTAAAAGCTTCTGTGTGTAAAAGCTTCTGTGTGTAAAAGCTTCTGTCTATAAACGCACCTGTGTGTAAAGTGTCTGCGTGTAAAACCTTCTGTGTGTAAAAGCTTCTGTGTGTAAAAGCGTCTGTGTGTAAAAGTGTCTGCATGTAAAAACTTCTGTGCGTAAAAGCTTCTGTGTGTAAAAACTTCTGTGTGTAAAAGCTTCTGTGTGTAAAAGCGTCTGTGTAAAAGCTTCTGTGTGTGAAAGTGTCTGTGTGTAAAAAGCTTCTGTGTGTAAAAGCGTCTGTGTGTAAAAGCGTCTGTGTAAAAGCTTCTGTGTGTAAAAGCTTCTGTGTGTAAAAACTTCTGTCTGTAAAAGCGCCTGTGTGTAAAAGTGTCTTCGTGTAAAACCTTCTGTGTGAAGCGTCTGTGTGTAAAAATAAACGTGTCTATGTATCCCCGTTGGAATTTCCACTACAGAATGGGTGGACTTGTGATAAGTACAACCTGCTGTTTTTAGTCAATTGGAGGTTTTTAGATTGGGGTCGGTTGCCATTTTGTAGCAAACTGCGATTGGGCCATATCCAATTGTCATTTTGTAGTAACAGTTTTTTTGGATTTTTGATAGGTATGTTAAAACCAAAACCCATTTTGTAGCATTTTGGAGCTGTATGATTTGTAGTTGGTATTCCTTCTTTGTAGAAGTTGCATCTTGGATTTCAAGTTTGTAGTAAACATGCATTTATGCCGTGATGGATCATGGCAATGACATTTTGTAGTAATTGAACTTGTGACAAAAAGAGGGAGACAGGGAGCTACAGGGGTTGGTTGCTACAAGATGGTTTGACCCGACGAGGAGGTCCTTGACTGCTGTGAGCGATCTTTACTTGACTTGAGAAGAACAATCCAATACTCATTTTGTAGCAATTGGAATCTTGACCTCTTCAGGCTTGCTGAGAAACGAATATTCATTTTGTAGCAAGAGACAATCTTACTTTTTGCATGAGACTGCATTTTGTAGCCTGCTAGCTTGGGAAACTTTTCCATACCTACAAAGAGATGGACCCAACTACACTAGGTTTATTCAAACGAGGATGTCTATGTGTAAAAGTTTCTGTGCGTAAAAGCTTCTGTGTGTAAAAGGTTCTGTGTGTAAAAGCTTATATGTGTAAAAACTTTTGTGTGTAAAAGCTTCTGTGTGTAAAAGCTTCTGTCTATAAACGCACCTGTGTGTAAAGTGTCTGCGTGTAAAACCTTCTGTGTGTAAAAGCTTCTGTGTGTAAAAGCGTCTGTGTGTAAAAGTGTCTGCATGTAAAAACTTCTGTGCGTAAAAGCTTCTGTGTGTAAAAACTTCTGTGTGTAAAAGCTTCTGTGTGTAAAAACTATAATGCAAACTATTGTCTTGTTATTTATGGTCTTGATACTACGTATTGTTCTCGTTGGCCTATAAATAAAACATATTTAATATGTTGTCTTGTAATATATGGTCTTGATACTAACAACAGAAGAACTTGCTCCTCTACGCTCTCGGGCCAACCGTCGTCTAGTAGCCTTTCTGGCCCCAGACTGGCCACCACAAAATCCCAAACAGGGGTTGAAGGCCAGTGAAGGCCTCTTCAAAATCCCAAACTGCTCCCATTTGGGGTGTCCACCACCTGTCTTAACCCATGTTTTGGATTTTGTAGAGGCATCATTATTCTTCAACCCATGTTTGGGATTTTGTAGAGGCCCCCATCCCCCACCAAAACATCCCAATTCAATCCTATGATTCTAATTCAAAACCAGTCATTGGTATTCAAAGCCATCAAAAAGCGCCAAAATTACCCAAAATGCACCCAAATGATTGCAAGTAATTGCAAGTAAACACATCATAACACATCCACATACCAACAAACGCCACGGGAAAACACACATAAAAGGTACTATTCAGGTATATTTGGGTGCTCCGCCACTGTCTTGTGATACTTAATCATGCGTCTTGAACTTAGGCCCCAGAGTGGCCACTACAAAATCCCAAACACGGGTTCAAGGCCAGCGAAGGCCTCTACAAAATCCCCCAGGGTTCTTTAGAGTATCAGATCCAAGCATTTTCTTTGGGGTTTGGGATGGTTTTTTGGGATTGGTGCGGTGTGGGCTTAGTGGGCTGGATGGGCCCGTTGGGAAAGGGCTTGGGATAGCCCCTCACCACTTGTTTTTTGACCCATGCTTGGGATTTTGTGGAGGCATAACTATTCTTAACCCATGTTTGGGATTTTGTAGAGGCCCCCATCCCCCACCAAAGCACTTAGAACGGTCAGTACCTCGCTTAAGCCTACGTTTTTACTCGCTTACGCCTACGTTTGTGAAATATGATGGCAGCACCAATAGAAAGTGACATAGAAGTCTTTGAATATGACTGCAACAGGTGTGACAGAGATGATGAGCAGGACATTTTGATTCGATCATATGAATTGCATGTCACTTTTCAGAAGATGTTTTAACGTATCAGGAATATGTCGCAATGTATCAGGAACATGTTTGAACTCACTTGAAGAAGTTGCTTCAACGTATCAGTACCGTCTGGCAAGTTACTGTAAGACGAGCTGACACATGTATCAGGAAGGTCGTGCAATTTACTTACAAGTAGGAAGATGTTGCAACGTATCAGGACTGTATTGCAAGCTACTTGACGAAGATGCTGCAAAATACCAGGAACATCATTCAAGGGACTTGAAGAAGATGTGACAACGTCATGCATGGAACATGTCGGAAGTGTCGCGCAGAAGATGTCACAATGCATCAGGAACGTGTTGCAAGTCATTTGAAGAAGATGCTACAACGTATCAGGAACATCTGGCAAGTTACTGTAAGACGAGGTGAGACATGTATCAGGAAGGTCGTGCAATTTACTTACAAGTAGGAAGATGTTGCAATGTATCAGGAATGTATTGCAAGCTACTTGACGAAGATGTTGCAACATAGCAAGAACATCATTCAAGGGACTTGAAGAAGATGTGACAACGTCATGCATGGAACATGTCGGAAGGGCCGCGCAGAAGATGTCACGTGTTGGTAGTTTGAACAAGTGTCCCCTAAGCCCACCCCAAGTGTCCCCAAGTGTCCCCTAAACCCACCCCAAGTGTCCCCAAGTGTCCCCAAGTGTTAACCTAAAGGGCTGTATCCCTTGGAGTTGGTTCCCTAAGCCCACCCCAAGTGTCCCCAAGTGTCCCCTACTCCCACCCCAAGTGTCCCCAAGTGTCCCCTAAACCCACCCCAAGTGTCCCCAAGTGTTAACCTAAAGGTCTGTACCCCATGGAGTTAACTCTGAAATCAACATACAAAATGTCGGCTTATAATGAGTAAAAAAGTCGGCTTAAATGAGTCTCGGACCCTTAGAACACCATTCATTGATACTCGAAGCCATTAAAAAAAAACACAATTTCCTTTGAAGGGTGTCCTCAGAGTAAAAGGGGTCCAGAACTAGAATGTTTACTGCGCGCGCCGCGCGCGTGCGCGCCAAAAAGGTCCCAAAAATCAAGCTGTTTTGGCGCGCGCGCGCGTGGCGCGGGCATAGGAAACATTCTACACCAGGACCCTTTTCATCTTGAGGACCGCTTTCAAAGGAAAATTTGCTAATCAAAATCATCCAAATCCCAATTCCATGAAAGGACATCATTTAAGACATACTTCGGGGTGATTCAAATAAATTTTTGTCAGAACTTATTGTTTTTTTAAAGGGTTTGTCATAATTAGTCTTGAATGAACGGTATTAGTGGGTATTGATGGGTTTGGTGTAGTATGCCTTGGATTTGGGATTTTGTAGTGGCCAGTCTGGGGCACAAGCACTAAAAGCACCACGAAAAAGATAAAAAACACATGTGCAATCGGGTAGTAGGTCGCAGCGGCGGTCCAAAAGGCTGCAGACAAAAGTATATGGTATAATTTTGTGATGGCATGTCATGCACAGATTTGGAGCTATTTCGTGCAGTCCAAAAAAACAACAACACCGATGAGTGTAAATCACGTTACAAAAAGACTTGCTCAACATTCCATCGTTTTACTATTGAACGGTTTTGACATAATTTGATGTATTTTTTTTGTTTTTTGTTTTTTTTTTGCATGGTTTCTGATAGCTTCAGTTGGACAAACCCTACTGCCTCTACAAAATCCAACAGTTGTTTTTTGGGCCATATACCCGTGCCAATATATAGGGGTAAGACAGTATCAATTGTGAGGATCCGACCCAGGGTTGGATTTTGTACAGCCAGAAACTTGGTACAACAAGAAACGTGAACTGAAAAAATGGGGTTGGAGGCTGGGATTTCGTAATGCAGGGTGATTTTGTAGAGCCTCCCCCACTTTTTCACTTTGTATCTACAAAATCCCAGCCCCTAACCCCACCACCCTAATTGGAGAGATGATCCCTACAGTATATTTTCCCATTAACCCTCCATTTTGTTTGGGGATTTCCAGCCATCTTTGACACCTTTTTCGGGTGGAAAGATCCCAGGAAGCCAAGCGCAGCGGCAGTAGCAGTGCGGAGGCAGGACTCGTTGTCGAATTTCAGGTGATAAAAGACATGAAAACACCAGTGTTTGGATGATTCTTGGATGATTTACGCGGATGTTTGAATGGTGACAGGGTGAATTTCTTGCAGATGTTCTCCCTTCGATCCTGGGATCATTGTGAAGTGATGCACCGACTGGGGGCAGAGGTGATCACCCTGTCAGGAAAGTCAAGAGAAAGAGAAGGAACCGCACATGGTGCGCCATCGTTCCAAAACTCTGAATTTGCCTTGAGGAACGATTTTGACGTAAGATTTCAATAGATTTCAGATCACACTAAATAGTTGTCAAATGTTTATTCTGACATATTTTGAGGCACCAAAGTGTTACCCTTCACTTTGAGCCATCTGAAGGTCTATTTTTTCCTTTGCTTGGTGCAATGCATGTGTTAGGGATGCTAAACATGCTACAGGATGAATCTTGCAACTGTAAATTCTGAGATCCAACAAAGTAATTGTTGCCCCTTTGCTCAGTAATATGATGGAAAACTTAGTTTGCAATTCCTCCGCATGTCCCAGGAAGGAAAGAAGGAACAGGACGAATCACAGGCTGAGGAGGAACCGAAGGAAGACGAGGACGAGGAAGCACTTCGAACGCCGCGGCGTTCGATGGATTGAAGTCTCCTGGATCGACCTGTTCCTTCCCCGTGTGCCATATTCAATTCGTTTGGCGCAACATGATCAACCCACATTTTTTTCTCGTGGTTTTTCAGTGGTTTAGTATATGATTACAGATGATTGAATAATCCTATTAAGATATTCTAAATATGGTTTGACATGCCTTAATTACTCGAATGAACCATCTCTCGTCCTGGCATCCGAGAAATTTCGGGTCGCTATCGCCAGGCGGAAGAGCGGAGTGGAGGCATTTGCCTCACTGAAGCCAAGGCGCACAACTGGGATCACGGAGCCTCGTGAAGCACGGAATTGATCATTGGCGACCCACATTTGAAACTCGTTTTAAACGAAAAAATCAGCACCATTTTCAATCATTGAACTAGATGGGCAATTTTCCATATCAAATTACCAGAGCCTAGCCAGGCTAACGGCCTTTGGGTCTTGTTTTTGTAGATGTTTGTTTGATCTGCAAAAAGACGAATGGTTTAGTACTAAAACGGCTACTATAGCAATTTCAGGGTGGCTCCTGGAGCGACGACAGTAGCGACTCAGCAGTCAGGGTATTTCCAGACAGCTGTCTTCATTGGTGTTTTCTAAGCGGTGTCACGAACAGGTTTAAACATTAAACCGTTTAAACATCAAACTATTTAGACACGTTTGAAGCTCGGGTCCAAATGTTTGAACTGTTTAATCATATTCATCGGATTCTGGACACGGCAACGCTGATATTGGAGCGGTTGGATCTTCTGACCATGCTTTGACGTTTAAACACGGCACCAAAGGGCCAGGGCCAGGAGGTTGTAGCCGCTCGCAAAGGCCTGAACTTGGTCCCGGCAACCCCATCATCATAGTGGTTCATGATTCAGGATCCTAATCTTTCAAATATTGTTTAAACATGTTCGCCCCAACCCGGACGTTGCTCCACACTTACAATGGTCATGATGATGATGATGATGATGATGATGATCATGATGATGATGATGACGACTGGGGTAATAACTTCATCAGGGATCAAAATTCGCCACCCCCTTTGAACAATATGTTGGTTGGGGTAAGAACATCAGACGCGGCGCAACGTCAGGGTTGCAGCGAACATGCTTAAACATTTCCCATCATATGTCCGTGCTACCCCGGATTGCTCAAACATTCGATGTTTAAACATGGTTTAAACATCAAAATGTTTAAACCGTTTAAACACATCCTCAGCCCAACCCTGATTCCAAATATTTCATATCTCTATATGTATAATATGCATATGTGATATATGTATACAATGTTCTTCTTCGATCGTCGAATTTACGTCCCTCCAAGTAAGGACATTAATTTGTACTTAGAAGACCGGATTTTGAATCAATAGCAACCAATAGCCTTTATCAACTTAATAGTCTTTGGCACGAAGCACGTTAATTTGACTTGCTTTGGAATACACATACATAGTTAATATTGTACATTATATATATATATATGTATCCATATATGTCCACACATGTCTACGTGTCTCACCCGACATGGTATTCTTTAGGCTGGTAGCCCTGGACCCCATGAATTTTCGTGCAGGCAGAGGAAGAGCCGAGTGGAGGCATTTGCCTCACTGAAGCCAAGGTCTGGCAAATGGCGATCCGTAAAACCCAATAGAAAATCCTATGAAAATAGTTGATGGGTTGATTTGAAAGGGATGGTTTTACATGAAACTACCCATTTTGCCGTCCAAATGTGTCCAAATGTAGGGTTTTACTGTAATTTCAGTGTCAAGCCAATGATTGGAACTCTGATTTTCCACATCAAGAAACGGGCAATGAACTCATGCCTCACCCATTTTTGCTGTGAAAGCATCCAATTTCGGGCCGTAGACATGATTTTCAGGGACATCAACAGTTGATTTGGGAATTCTGTGATTTTGCAGTTTGCCCAGACTATTTGCAGTTGATGTTTGCATGAATTTGGGCCAACATCCCACGTCCCGTTAAGGTGATTTCTTAACCGTTAAGGGATGGCGCTGATGACGGAAAAATTGACGAGCAAAAAACATGGGATGGTTAAACGCCCTATAGATATTGACGTACCCGCTTGTTGTTCACCAACATATCTAAATTTGTCGGTCGATGAATATCCGTTTGTTTCACCAATTTCTGTTCATCTATAAATTCAAGCGTGGAGTAGCACCCATTTACTGCAACCTTGGATTGTAACCGGTAATCAAACATGGCAGGGAGCTCCAAATAGCAGCTCCAAATGGAGTTTTCTTGGAACATCCCAGGTACATTTACATCCATACATATCCATACTCATGGAGTTTTTTTCATGGGAAACCCATCTGAGAAATGCATAAAATTTGCGGGTTTTCCCGCGATGATTCCCACCACCGGGTATCTGGCCGCCGCCGCCAGGACGTCAAGAAGGAGCCACAGGAGGAGATTCACCCAGTTTTTCAATCCATTCTTTTCGTGATTTAATGTTATGTGTCTAGATATAATGTGATATGATATGATATAATCATCCCGAAGTAGATACTATATCTGAGATGTTCATTCCGATATTCCCGTTTTGGTGATGATTTTTTTGAAATGTCCACATTCTATTGTGATGGCACCGGTATGTGATCATGACATATATATATACACATATACCTTGTTTTGACCATGGCATCAATTGAGATATTTCATGTGGGATCACGATGTGAAACACACCTTCGATGTACACGTAGCGCATCGATGTCCTATATCTACGTTGTATTTTGTATATCTTTACGATTCTTTGCACATGTATACATACATACATATATATATAATATACATGTACATTTATAATATACAAGAATATATATATACATACATATATGTAATTAATACATTTGGTTCTTTATGTATATATATATATATGATCTATACATATCATATGAGAATTGTGCATAATGTGGTACACCCAATCATGAACCAGCCCAAAAGGGGTTTATGAAATTGGATATACCCTTTTTAAAACTGGGATGATGCTTATTATGACCCCCATGGCATTGGGTTTACCAGATTATTTGTATACATACATTATATCATGCTGTTATATATCATATTTTATTTGTGCATATCTATCATTATATATTTATATTTTTTTCCCCAAATCTTTGTGTGGGGTTCTTGTTTTCGATTCTGTATCCCGCTCCTCCTCCTCCTCCTCGTCGCCTCCTCCTCGTCGCCTCCTCCGCCTCCTCCACACACAACTTTGTCACACACAACTTTATCACACACCTCTTTGTCACACACACAACTTTGTCACACACACTTTGTCACACACCATCTTTGCGTGGCAGGCGTGGCACTTGGCGACAACCACCTTCGTGTGATGTGGCAGGCGTGGCACTTGTTGCACTGGGCTGGGTCTGGTGGCGCGCTTGGTCGCCGTTAGTCGCTCGTGACGCCGCGGCACTTTGTGTGGCAGGCGTGGCACTTGGCGACATCCACCTTCGTTTGATGTGGCAGGCGTGGCACACCGAACTCTTTCACACACACACACACGTCCTTTGTCTTTCCTTCCTCCCTCGTCCTGCTTCAACTTCTTTTTCTAATTATTATTAGTTGTTGGAAGAAGTTGACTTGTGGGGTTATCCGATCCTTTAATTGTGTATATCCATGTATTTGTTTCTCCATCTCTGTATCTTATATATTGTATCCACACACATATCATGATATACTATCATAATAAATAAATGAATGAATGAATGAATAAATAAATATATATATATATATATTATGTATATATATATATACATATATATATATTTATCATTATATCATTGTTATCATTACCACCATACTGTATATTTAGTGTACCTAGTATTTGTTGGTATTTATCTATATACATACAAAGTGGGCCCCCCTAGATAGCTAAGTTGGTTTTTAAATCCAATAATTATTGTTCATGATAGTTAAAGCTATACTTGATGGGGTTTATCAACCAACTTATAACTGGGGGGCCCTACATTGTATACATATATATATATATATATAGAGAGTTTTTATATTAGTCGTTGGTATATCCATGGCCGCCGGGCTCTGGCTCCAGTCTCTGGGGGGGGCGCCAAGCCTTTGGACTTCCCAAGGCAGACCATGAACAGTTCACCACGAAAAAGAGTGGTGATTTCCATGGGATTTAACCACTAAAAAATGGTGACTTCATGGGATTTAAGCCAAAAAATGGCCAGAACGGTATGTTTGATCAGGAGGATGTAGTGATTAGAGAAACATGTGTATTGGACAATCAAAACTGGTCGTATCATGTGGATTTAGCCAACATAAATGGTGGGATAATATGGTACAATGGGAATATCACTTGATGTAAAGCGGACAAAACTGATACAACGCTCATCCCAAACATGTGATTTACACTTGAGCAACATACATGGGTATATAAATGGGGAAATCATCTATAAATGGGATGATAATGGGATATTTCATCAACAAGAGAGAGGATTTAAGCACCAAGCATGGTGCTATAATGTGGATATAATATATATATATATTTCTATTTGTTAAATGTACTGGAGATATTTCTGTACTTCTAATCCCCCGGAATGCGGTTTAACCATCTATAGTTGGGATCAGCCAAGCATCTGGAGAAAAATGGATTTAACCAGCGAGTTTTCATGGGGATTAACATGTTTGATATAGCAGTGGTGGGTGAAATATGGATGTTCACTCAGGTTTATTGGGATTTGACCAATAATCATTGGGATTTAATTTGGCCAATTTATAGGTTTCACTGATCAAAATGGTGACTTAACCATCCTTAAGCAGCGATATTTGACAATTTATGGAGATTTGACCGACCAAAATTGGATTCTAACCATCGTCTCTCCTGGGATAACTTCATAATTTGATACAATGACTATATAGATTATTCAGCCAGCAAGATAGATAGATTGATAGTTAGATAGATAGATAGATTGATTGATAGTTAGATAGATAAATAGATAGATAGATTGATAGTTAGATAGATAGATTGATAGATAGATAGATATATATATATATATTGACAAGCCATCCATATACAATTGGATGATGATCCGGATTGATTAACTACTACTACTACTATTACTACTACTACTACTACTACTATTAGTACTACTATTAGTACTACTACTACTACTACTACTTTCTGCTACTTTCTGCTACTTACTGCTACTTACTACTACTTACT